TCAGTTCAGTTTGGATTTTTTCAGTTTAGATTAGAATTATAATTTGAAAAAATCTAAACTAAACTAAAATTTTCAGATTGATTTTTATGCAATTTAAAATTAATGTAAATTAATTTGAATTAAAAAAATCTTTAAATTAATCTAAACCATTTAGAACTTTATTCCTTCTGCTTCTTTTTATTTTATATTTTTTTCTTTAACTATTTTATAAAAAAAAAGGTTAAAAATTATTAAGTTTGTCAGTGAATGTTAGATTAATATAGACTTTAAAAGTATTTAATTAAGAAACAAAATGATTTTATATAAATTAAAAAAGAAAGAAATGCTTTTTGTTAAAATTTTGAAAATCATATAAGAGAAAAATTTAAAGATGAAAATAATATTATTATTCATAAAAAGATAAGTATTTTTATTTCAATATAAAATACTTTTAATACTTTATAATTTTGATTTTTTTAGAAATACTATAGATAACAATACAAAAACTATATGTATTTAAGATACAATTGAAGATTTCTGTTATATATTAACCAAATGGAATAATTGTCTTTTATAAAAATACAATAAAGGATTACAGTCATTCTCTCTATAATCATCCTCTGTATAATCATATCATATAAATTCCTCATTATAAGCATATATTTTATCTATTAATACTATATAATAAAAATCCTTTTATAATCACAATATTTTTATAATCACACCTTTTAGAACTAATTCTTAGTAACAATATATAATAATTTACTATATAGTTACTTTTATTATAATCATATTTTTTATTTTTAGTCCTGAGAGATGTGATTATAAAGAGAAATAACTGTATTGTATTTGATCAATTAATTGAATACAATAAAGATTAAAAAATATATACTAAAACTGAAGAAAAAGCTTAAGATTTAGAAAGAATCAAAATTTATAAAATATCAAAGATATGTTTTTTAAATTAAGTTAGAATAAGAAAGTTTATAAAGGAAAAGGATATGCATATCACTTTTCAAATACTTTTATTAAATGATTTTAAAAATTATTTGTAAGTTCAAAATTAATTTTTAGTAACATTTTTTGTTTTACATATTATATAAATAGTCTTCATAATTTCACAATTTCCATACTGCTAAAAAACAATTCTTCCACTTTTCTTCATTTATACTTCTATGAAACCTCACCCTATTATTATACTAAATAAGGAAAAACAAAAAGGTGTATCAAGCAGTGAGGAGCTTCTATCTATTGCTATATAGATATACTAATAGCTTTGAACAAACTCTTTTCATTAACAACATAATAAAATAAAATTTTAATTTACTCCTTGAATGAACGAACAACCGAATAAGAGAGAAAACCATAATTATCCTTTTGTTATTAAATAATTTATTAATTTAATTTACGTAGATATTGTAATTTGTATCTGATTATAGATAGGGACGATAAAATTATTTCTCCTGGGTCAAGCGACAAGTTTTACCACAATCATGTGACTTTCCGAATGTATTGAAAGTATTTAAGCGCTTCAACAACTCTATTCATCTTTGTTAACCAACACCAATTCACCAACTAAATGGATAACACGATCGATAATCTGAACGAGAAAAATTTCATGGGATGAAGAACAACGTTTAACATCCAGGCAGATGATAATGCAAAATTGGTATAGGTCGAACACTCGTTGCGAGAGGAAAAACTGAGCGAGAAAAATCGGTATGTTTAGCTAAAGACATATTTTTGTTAGAATTTTTTTTAATAAAACTGTTTACTGTTTTAGCCACTTCGTCATTTCTTAACAAGGCTTTTCGTTAGACCTGTGGTCTCTACCTGCAAAAAAACGAAGAAAAGTTAAAAAATTTTCATTAGTGTTGAATTCGCTGATTTTATCATTGAAATTATTATAAATTGCGAAACGGAAATGTTGTCTTTATCTGTATTTTATATATATCGAGATCATTATCCATAAAATTTTCTGCGAAATTTTTTATTCTTAATTTGTTCGTGTAACAATAACCAAAATTATAATTATAAAGCTATAAATTATAAAGCTTTAATGCATTTTAATCTAATATCATCAAAAACTAAGATGCAATAAAAATCTCAATTTTGTTAAAATCAATAAATTAGCCAACGCAAATGTTAAATTATTAGATACACCACTTCACTTCGAAAATCAAACCATTATCATGTTACGCAAACATCAATGCCAACATATTTTATAGTTATCAGAACTTTTGTATAGAAAATAAACATTTAATAAAACCCTTCAAGAGTTCGATGAAAATTTAAAATTATAAGTATATTTTAAATGGAAAACAAAATGTTTCGTTTTTTTACTAAACAAAAAATCTTTTATACTAAGAATGTTATCTGTCATCCCATTAATTTTGTAGAAAAATTTTTTTTACTAAAAAAATTTAAAATTGGATTCTTTATCTCAACCTTTCTAATAATAATATTGATATAATCTTATTATTGTAACATCTCTAATGCTTCTTGTTCCTGCGTCAAACTCTTTTTTGTATGTTCTTCGATATCAATAGCTTCCCAAGGATAAACTAACCAACGATCGGGTGTTTCTTTAGCCGCAAAATATCTTCCTTCTTTCATTATAGAAAGGTCAGGCAATTCCATTCTTTTCTCCTTCTTTTTATTATGAAGTACAAATATAGCGAACTTTGTTTCGGGAACTTTAATATTGACATGTTCTGAATTATCTTGTAAAAATTTACGTTTCTCTTCCTCTATATCTTTGGTTAGTTCTTGTACAGCATAAGCAAGTGTAGTTCTAGTGTCATCGACCTCGTCTACGATAAGGATATTTTTGCCTAACAATGGAGACGTTGTTGCATGAGAAGGTCCAAAATGAAGCCATTGAGTTTTTATCACTTGTGTGCCAATCGTTGAAAGCGAACCATTATTAATTGAATCTGTCGTTGAATGATTTGAATTAATATTCGAAGGGTTAGGAGAAATAAGATCCTCATAAAGAGAGAGACCAATAGCTTGAATCGGAATATTCTTATTGTTGGCTCGTTTTAAGAATGTACGCTTTTTTGAGAAGAAATGTAAGGAATTAATCATTTGTGCATTGCCTGCTAACATGATTGTCATACAAACAGCGAATGCTCGTTACATAAAAGCAAGTTTTGTAACGTGCTTTGAATTATCTAAGAAAATGGACCTTGATTCAATTAATATTAATCTTTTCGTCGAACACGGTATCATGATAAATATTTTTTTTTTTTTTTAAAAAAAAAAAAAGAAAAAAGACGTGCCGTGTTTTTTTTTTTTTTTTTTTTATTTATTTATAATAAAGCTATCCTTTTACAAAAATAGTTAAAGAAATTATATTTATTTACCAATATTCTAGCGGGGATAAAACCGCCACCACCTATTGCAATCATGAGGTCGGGCTTAAATTCTTCATTAATTTGGTAACGCTCAACTGCATCTTTTATGAGCTGGTGAACTTGGTTATAAGAGATATAAAGTTTGGTGTCAATTGTCATTGCCAGTTACTGAGAGAGAAAAGAAAAATATTTTTAAAAAAAGGTTTCAGCTTGGATAACAATTTATCCTATATCATGATTGGTTAGATCGAAAATTGATCTTACAAGTATCTGACAAGTTATCAAACAATCAATATTTGCATATCGATATAGAAAGAAATTTAATTAATGAAATTGCCTTAAAAAATTATAAAGCTTTATAAAATTTTAAAATTTTTTTTTTCTCTTAAAAAGAAAGAAGCATTTATCAATATTAAATCAAAAACTTTCATCCGGTTTTTACCACGGAAAACAATGGAAAATTCAAATTAAGGTCATTTTTAATAAGAATTTTAAACTCAAATTTCGACTAGATTTATTTATAATTGAATTAAATTTAAATAAATAGTAAAGCATAAACATTTATTTGGGAGATTCCGGCGCGTTAAATCGTTAATTTTTTCAGAGTTGCTTACTGATCAGAGACGAAAAAAAGGTCCTGATTATATCAGTTTAAAAAGTTCAACTGAATAACAAAACAAAAATAAACGATCTTTGTGAATCCGTCGGAATTCAAAGTAAATATTTTATGTCCTTTAGCTTGATGACATGAAATTCATTGTTCGATAAGGATCGTAATTTAAAATTTGACGTCGTTTGCTAAAGGTGCATCTATCATTAATTGAATAATCATTAATTGGAATTATTCGAAGAGTTGGGGAGAGATCTAAAGAAAGAGATCAATAAATCGGAGTATTTTTCTTCTTGGTTCGTTTAAGAAGAAATCAATTGTAGTATTGTAGTGCGAGTATTTTTTCAATTCATTTTGATAATTTCAATCACATGAATTAAATAAAAAAGATCTCGCATCATGATTGGTTAAATCAAGGGATCGAAAAGAAAAAAAAAAAAATTGTTTAAAACAAGGTTTACCCTTTAAAACATTTTGCTTTTAGAAAGATTTATATTGTTTAAAGGATGGTTCGCAAGAGTAAGCCTAATTTGCAAAATTTTTGAGGAAAGTAGTTGTTTAATTTAGAACTTATTTTAATTTATTTATTTTTTATTTTCCAAATTAATTTGTAGAGACCCAAAGCAAGCGCACGACATGCGCACAACGTTACAAAATTCAGAGAAAGGTTAATGAACATAAAAGGAAAGAAAAGAAAGAAGCAAGAAAGAATCCTAAATCCCGTAGTATGTAACATATTATATTATATTAATTTTATTAAATCAAAGTTTTGCTTGTAAAACACGCGGTTTTTGACAATTTACTAAGGAAGTTTTGACGTGTTGAATTCTTTTTTTTTAAAAAAACAAAAAAAAAAAAAAATGTTTTATTGAACAGAACTTAAGAAAGATCCTGGTATACCGAATTTGTATCCGTTTAAAGATCAACTCTTGAATAAAATCGAACAGCAGAAAATAAAAGTATGAAAGATCAAATTCAATCTGCAATATTTTTAACCTGTCTTAACCTTGTTTATCTATTGAAACTAAAAGTATATCCTTATAAAATACGCCTTTTAGCTTGAAGATGAAAAACAACGACAAGCGAGTGCACGAAATTCATTGTTCGATAAGAATCGAAATTTAAATTTTACGTCGCTTGCTAAAGATGTATCTAACCGCAATATAGTTTTTGATAATGATCATAATTCTGAGGATGAAGAGGACGGAGTAATAGCATCTGTAGATGCGGCCGCTGTTGGACAAAAAGATAACTCTCGCAAAGCATATTATAAAGAATTTCGTAAAGTTCTTGAGACAGCTGATGTGATTTTGGAGATATTAGATGCTCGCGATCCTTTGGGCTGCAGAACTAAACAAGTTGAAAAGATGATAATAGAAAGTGGGTCTACCAAAAGAATCATTTTGGTGTTGAATAAAATCGGTAATATCCAGAGTTCAGTTATAAGTAAAATGTAATATTACTCGTTTATTTTAAAGAATGATAAATAATCGTTCTAAATTTTAGATCTTGTTCCCAGAGAAAATATAACCCAATGGCTTATATATCTCCGTAAAGAATTTCCAACAGTTGCTTTTAAATCCTCCACTCAATCACAACGAAAGAATCTCGGACATTCTTCTTCATCGGTGTCTACCGCATCAAATAATATAATAAAACACAGCAATGAATGTTTAGGTGCTGACACACTTATTACGCTTCTTAAAAATTACTCTCGAAGTTTGAATATAAAAACTTCAATTACTGTTGGAGTAATCGGTTTTCCAAATGTCGGAAAATCCTCTGTTATTAATTCCTTAAAACGGTCCAAGGTTTGTGGTGTAGGTGCCTCGCCAGGGTTAACAAAGTCTGCACAAGAGATTCACTTGGACAAGAATATAAAGTTATTGGATTGTCCTGGGATTGTATTTACTCGTAATCAGTGGGGTGACGGGCATGCGGAAATTTTGTTAAGAAATTGTATCAAAGTCGAACTATTAGATGACCCTATTCCACCTGGTATATTTTATTTTTGATTTTTGATTTTTTTAAACTTTATTCTTTTAAACAATTGAATAATCATACTCACTTTGCAACTTTTCTTTTATTTATAAATTTTTTTTCTTTTTGGTAGTTGAACTAATCGTTTCTCGTTGTAAACCTGAACAACTAATGAACAGATATAGTGTTCCAATGTTCAGGCATACTAACGAATTCCTTTTACATCTAGCCCGCCAAAGGGGCAAATTAAGACGTGGTGGCATCCCTGATCTTGATTCTGCGGCAAAGATAGTTTTGCACGATTGGAATTCTGGCAAGATACCATATTATACTGTACCACCAACAGCTGCAAAAGATAATGTGATTCTTGGTAGTACGATCGTTTCAACATGGAGTAAAGAGTTCAACTTGGACGAGGTGTGCAATGAGAGTGAAGATCAAACTATTCTTGCTAGTGTGAAGACTAAGAATGATTTTGGAAGTTCTGCTATTGTGACGGTATGTGTTGTAATTGTTGTAATTCAACTTTAATAAATAATTCGTACCTTTATTTATTATTGGAATTTAAGACCGGAAAGTTTCCGGAAATAGAGATGGATGATTTTATTGACAACGATGACTCTCAAAGGTAAATATTTCATAAGAAGTTTTTTGACTTACATTCTACTCTCGATATACCAAAATCCGATCATTAAAATTTGTAATCAAAAAATAATGGTAAGCTAGTCTTCATTTACATATGACTATATAAAATATTATATCATTGTATTTAATTTCTTATAAAAATAGGGAAGCAAAGGATATAGTTACAGTTTATAATGTAACTTTATATGAGGTTATGAACCTTTATCGTGGGTTGGGTTTATCGAGAGAATATGTGCCGTTCATTTTTAACCGTCACATTCCGAAATTTATGATTACTTAATACATGCTACTGTTACTGACGATCTTAACTAATTTGTTAAGATCATCATGCGACATATTAAAATTTTTAAGGATATTAAATGTAAAAGGAATTCTTTATGACGGTTATAGGTGAAATGCACCATAAAAATATTATCATTTTTTATTAATATAGTTTTTACAACAGCGATGAAGCTCCAGAAGCAATTCCAATGGAAGTTGAAGAAAAATCAACGGAGCTTGTTGTGCCTCAAATGAAGCCCAAGACAGTTACTTTTGCTAACCCCCCTCAGCAGATTTTCTCAAAATTAGAGTTAGAACTTAATCCGCAAGTGAATAAAAATAAAAAAAAAGAGTCTAAAAAGGCGAAGAAAGCGTCTAAAAAGAAGGATCAAATGAAATCTGACGATTCGATTCACATGGAAGATGTAGTTAAACAGGACGATGGATCAAATCATCACACACAAGATATGGGAAAAACCAAAAATGAAGAAGATCGTTATGATTTTTCCGAATTTTTTGGAAAATTATCCTAGTAAGTCTTTAAGCAATGATTTATTTATTTGATATTATCATAAATAAATATACATTATAAATTATTTCTTTCTAGATATTTGTCTGTTACATATTTAACAACTATAAAATGGATAGTAAATCAGCTAATCGAACTTAAATATAAATTAATATATTTAATTTTTTATGTGATATGTTTGAGATGACAATAAAATAATACATTCGATCACAGAATTAGAATAATTTATACAAAAAAAGGCAATTATAATGAAATGAGTAATATAATCTCCTTTTTCGGGAAATTCGCTGTTTATGAAATAATTTTGGATACATAATTCTCGTAATTCTGCTAGGAATTATATCATTTACAATTCTAAAATATAGAATGTAAATTTTTTGAGCAACCTTAATTCCCTTTTCTCACTTCACAACATATGGTGGCAAATCTGACATATCAAAACCATTAAAAGTTCCTATACGCAAAATATGGGCAAAAAGTCGAAGGATAAAAAAACTCATAAACATAAACATAAACGTTCGCATAGAGATTCTTCTCAAAGTGGTAAGAAATTGTTGTTCCGTTCCTTAAAATTAAAGATTTTTACGCGAAGTTATAAGACTTATGAAATGGTTATACATAAATTACCTCGCGTACACCGTAGCTTCGTCTGAACAACAGAGAGAGTTTCTGGCAGTAAGCTTTCATTAAGTTTAGACATATAACTATTTAATTATGATAGTTTATAATATTTTTTTTTTTTTTAAAAAACAAAAGAATACTTTCGTCAAAATAGTTACTTTTTTTTTTTACTTATACAAATTGGTTGTAGCTAATTTTCTTTTATACTAATTAAAAAATTATCGATTACTTTCGTTTCTTTAGAGCGCCTTAGTAACGAACAAACAATAAATGAACAGCCACGACTCGAGCAACCTCGTACGAGAATTAGACTTTCATACAGACGAACTGATGACGATGACAATCCGAGGGTGGAAAGTAGTTCTCAAGTGCAAGATAATAACGAGGAGGAAGATCTTGTCGATGATCAAATGAATGTAAATGTAGAGGATAACGAAATTGCCTCTGCTCCGAGAGAAACCCCTCGAAGAACGATATTGAGATTGAAATTTAATCCAGATTCATCATCAAAAAAGAATAAAAAGCGTAAGCATAAACATAAACGCCGCTCCGAAGTTATTGAGGCTTCGTCATCGCATTCTCATGAAAAAGTCAACAAGGGGAAACGTAAAGCACGGGATCTTATTGAAGGTTCAAATCTTGAAGATTCTGATCGAAAACAAAGTGATAAAGGTGATGATATCGTATTAACCCATTCTCGAAAGAAGGTCAAACATCAAAGGAACATTGACGTGAATGAAATTGTTGCTGCCGGTGAAAATGTAAACACACAATCGTCGCTGAATGATCAGTCAAAGCAAGTTTCACCTAATGTTGTAGATGTAGAAGATTCCTTGACTGACGTAAATCTATCAAGTGGAGTTAATACGGATACTTCAAAGGCGGAGAACGTTACCATTTCTTTTAATAAGGAAATATCAAAAGTAATACAAGATATTAAGAATAAAGAGGAGAATGAGAAATCATCAACTCATGATTTATCTAATCAAAAACAATTAAGTGGTGAAGGTACAAAGAATCAATTAAAGAGGGTCGCCGGTAAGAAACCCCTCGAACATATAGTAGAAGCCGGTCCTTCAATTTATGCGCAAGATCGCAAAGAAGTTTCCGGTATAACATCATCTTATCAACTTAGAGAAAAGCGTTCATATCCACCTAGTTTTAAAGATGTTAATAAACCGGATGAATCACGTCCCTCAAAAGTTCACAAAGTCTCTTTGAAGACCGTTCAGTCATTTCAAGAAGGTGCTGGTGTTATTACATCACCTAAAAGTTCCGAAATCCACACATCACAGCAAACTAAGTTCGCTACAACTAAATATCATGATATCTCCGAAGATGTTAATGGCAAGTCGACAATCAAAGATGTTACTACATCACCTTCTACCAAAGCCGGGCCTGTACGTAAGCTGGGAAGGCCTCCAAAATCACTACAAGAGGCTCGTAACAATATTCAACGTAATTGGACATGGCAGAAAAAGAAGAAGGATCTCAAGACAATCTTGAATAAGTTATTGGACTCTTTCGAAAAGTAAGCACCGATTAATCATATCGATCTTTGACCGATATGACCCCTTCCAATAATTAATTCATTATGACTATTCTGCACAATTTTAAATATTATATTTAAAGGAAAGATGCGTATGGTTTCTTTTTGGAACCTGTTGATACAAGCATCGTGACTGATTATTCGACCATTATCACAAATCCTATGGACCTCGGAACGATGCGTAAGAAGGTGGCAAATAATGAATATACAACCATTGATGCATTCAAGGTTGGTGATACAATCTTATATCAGGAACATGAGTACATTTTTAACATCTTAACATTAATTGATATTTTAACGAATTCGTTAGGACGATCTTGCAATTATTTGTAATAATTGCAAGACATATAATGCTCCAGAAACTTTATATTATAAAAGTGCCGAAAAACTTTGGGCTTTTGGCGAAAAATCTATTGAACGAGAAAGAGATAGTATTCTATTAGAAGAAGAAAAGGCAAAAGCATTGGAAGAAATTATTGATATTGAATATGGAGGCAAGAAGGTAGGGTTTTCAGATAATCCACATCACATTCTTAAGTTCGTTACCATGATTTTGATTACTAATTTATATTGTCAAATAGTCTAATATTAACGTTGGCAACAATGCTTCTAGCAGAGGTTAGTTCGCTTCTATTATCCTTTATGATGACTTTCAAACATATAAATTTTGCTAAATGTATAAACATAAATTATTCATAGGCTCCTCCGTTTCTTCAAGGCCTTTGAGACAACCTAGAAGAACGAAGCGAGGAGATCCGCGCAAACAATTTGCACAGGATGGTTCAGTTTTGCCTTGTAATAAAATAAAATTTCTTTTATGTATTTGTTTATTCTTATTTACTATTGCACTTTCATAACCGTTCTAACATGCAAATTTGTAGTTGGAAATCCTGGAGAGCTTTTGCCAAAAGCACGACCCTTTGGCGAGACACCATTACTTACAGTTATATCATCAAAAGCCCAACGTCCAGGTAAGATGTTTAGATTTTTAGTTAATAATATTAAGCTCTTTTTTTTTTTATTTTGAAGGATCAATCTGATAATTATTCTATCAATTTTAAATAATTTAGCACGATTTGAAGATTATGGTCCATTCGCGACGTTAGGAATGGACGCGCCATATTATTCACCATCCGAAAAAGAATATTTCTATAATATATATGGTGATGAAAGGGGATACGCTTATTCTCAAAGCATAAAGAACTTTGTCAAAGATATGGGTGATGAAATGAACTCGCAGGTTGACAAATTCCTTAACAAATTGACTCGAGGTGCATACAGTGTCGACCAACAAATTGCTAACATGGAGACAGAACCTATTGATACGTCCGCTGTCTTGGACACCGAATTTGGCCCAGTTAATGTGGGTAACGAACTCGGCCAAATTCGGCGCCTCCCTGAACTTAGAAAACAAAGAGCAGAGTTGGAAATGTGGCAAAACGAAAAAATCGATCTAGACTTTCTAGTAAGCGATCAGGAAGCCAGTTCCATGTTGGCCACTCTCGGAAACACCAGTTTCCAAGAAATGTTGGATCTCAATGCCAAGTCATTGGCCGAGTTAATCGCGGTAAAGAATAACGAAAATGCTGTTGCTCATCAAGGGACACAGAAACAGCTTGGTATTTTATCATATGAACTTCTCGATCTTAATCTTATCATGATGTCATCGTTAAATATTAATGTAATCTTTCTCGTCATAACTTAGTTGACGATGTGCAACATCGTCTGTTCCAACTTGCTCAGCACGCGCCTAGGAGCGAGATTAAATCGCGTGCAATATCTCCTATGCAATCATACGTAATGCCGGTTCCTGTGGTCGGCTCACAGGCGACAAAAACACAGATACCGAAACATTCTACATCGGGTGTGGAACAAAACGATCCAATCAGTGCATTAGCGCCGTCCTTGCCCGAATTTCTTGCTATAAGTGGAAAAGGTCGTACTAAGCCGTGCAATTATAATCCTGGTATTATATAAATATATATATTTTTTAGAACTTTAATAGTAGTTGCTAAAAATAGTTATATGGTCTAATTTATTCTACTATTAGCCGGAAAGTGTGCCAATTGTCAGACTACCGATACTCCCGGATGGCGAGCGGGAGAAACTTCCGATCAAAAATTGTGTAATGGTAAGCTTGATACTTTTTTCTTTTCTCTTGATGAATTGGTTTTAAACTAATATAAATTATTATATTTTAGCATGCGGATTGTATTACGCAAAAAACAAATCTCACAGACCTCCAAACCTGTGGGCTACTTCATCGCGTTGAATTTTCTTTTTTTTTTTTTTTTTATAAAGAAAAAAAGATACAAATATCTGTTTGGGTGGGTTTGACGCGTGTCTTTTTCCTGTAAAATATACATTCACAAACTTTTTTTTTAAAATGCAAAAATCATTGTATTAAGCTTATCATAATAACCATAATAATAAATGTATGATGTGATTTTCCGGATTTTTTGTAAAGGCGAATTCGCAATATCATTATAAAGTTGATGGGAGCGTTACTTGCATATTTAATAT